ATAACACCCTTCATCCAGATGAGGATCCCTCCGCTACACTTTGGGATCCTGATCGACCGACGAAGCTCCATTAAAATCTATATATTTTTGGTGAATTACTGAGTTTAGGCACGTTAATAACGTTTTAATGAAGTTGAATACAGTATATTCATATGTGTCAGTGATTTCATGTCAATTTGGCGAACATAAACATAAATGATCGTGGTGAAGATGATGATTAAATTAGGATTAAAAATCGAGAGCCGGGCTGCATTTCCTCCCGTTCGTTTTTTTTTCTCCGAATAACACAATTATTTTACTAAATAACAACATGGTGCTGTTTTGTAAATGATTAAATGTCTCTTATTTAGCACAGTAGTATGATATCCGTGACATATGGATCTTAACAAAGTTCCGCTGTACATCCAGCGTACTGTATGAGACTTTATTTCACATGAGCTCCAGTGTGGAACCCCACTTCACCCCCTGGTGGATCAATGATCCATTGCAGCTGGCTTCATTATAATTACATTTATCTATCACGGGGGCGGTCTCAAGTCAAGCTGGAGGTTTTCCCTTGAGCAAGGGCAGATCACGTACCAATCACGGCCCTCACGTTTCAAACTGTCTGAAATGAATCGCTACATCTGTAGGCCTACGTTTTACGTTTTGGCTATAGGCTGTTGCTAAGTAACGCAAAAGTAATGTAAAGAGTAATGGAACAATTAGAGTAATATATTACTGTTTTTAAAGAAATGACTAATGTGTAATACATTACTTTTTTTGAGTAAAGACCCCATCACTGGTTCTGTCTGATGCTGAAATAAAGAAAAAGTAACCTGTGGATTCTTAGCCCTACCGCCCCGAGAGGATGTGTCAGCAGAATATTTGTTCTCATCCTGAATCAGCCTCTCTACTTCCTGTCTGATGCTCCACGTCTGGTTGGGGGGGTCTGGAGAGCTGGACAGGAGGCTAGCCAATCCCGTGCCTCCATTCATCTCTGGAACAGGGTCAGTCTGTCCTTGTCTCTTGAGTATGGACTCTGGAAAAGTCGTTTGAAAGGGGCAGGATGTCTGCTCTTGTATGAATCCCACAGCACTGGGTTCATTAGAAGGAAAGAGAAAACAAGATCAAAACTGCTTTAAAACATTTGGTGTTACTGTAATGAGGTTTGGAGGAAAGCAGCAAACATTTTTTATGGTACAATGTTGGATATTCCTAGGTTGAATAAAAGACTGAACAAACAGATAGACAACACATATTAGGGGTAATTTCATGTTAAGCACAAACATTCACACAGGCTGGTGGTACACAGTAGGGCTGCAACGATTAGTCGACATAATCGACGACGTCGATCATAAAAATTTGTCGTTGGGACAAAACGTTGGGTTACGTATTGTAACCCTAGCTATATAAGCACAGGCTCCGCCCTCTACTGGACTCTATGGGTACTACCTCTCAACCATACTATGCGAGCATTCATCATCTGAGATATTTATAACCGTAGCCGAATGCGCGCGCAAGCCCACCGTATATAAGGCGGCCTCGCCTCCTGGCTGTCACCCTACACTTCTCATCAGCGAGCAGCATAGGACAGACAGGGTCCCGAGTAAAGGGCTCCGCCTCCGCCTGTGCTTATATAACTAGGGTTACAATGCGTAACCCACTGTTATATCTCACACAGGCTCCGCCCTCTACTAAACTCTATGGGTACAGTGGCTGGAGCCCTGATTCGTAAACGCCCTGTCGTCCAACAACATTGAGTCACCACACTGCCCCTGATCTGCTTTTTTTGGTTAACAGCCACTGCACCGCAACCTCCTCTCCTCCGGTTGTGACCGGGGAGATGTGGGGGCCGCAGTTTACCTGGCTGATAGGGCACACTCAGACACGCTTACCTTGTGAATAGTGCGCCTGGAAAACAGTGAGCTGTATGGGGCTTACTGCGCACCATGTTTCCCGGGTCCCCAAGGAGCATGGGAAAACATAAGTGCATCATGTCCAGGGGGGGGGGTCAGATACCTGCTGACCCCAGCCCTGCATGGGGCCAACAGTGCACCATGTTTCCCGGGTCCCTAAGGAGCATGGGGAGAACGTAAGTGCACTATGTCCAGGGGGGGACCCACACCGGCTGTTGTTATGCCTGCTGTGACGTTACATTACTCCGTTCTCCGCTTGTAATTATGCCGTTACAAGCTTCAAANTTCAGTTCATCGAAATGCTGCACCTTAATGTTTATTTTATTATATTTTGTTAGTTTTGGGTTTTTAATTATTATTAAACTGTGAATATTCACTCATAAATACAAAATATAATAAAATAAACATTAAGGTGCAGCATTTCGATGAACTGAAATAATCTGTATTTGAACTGTACTAGTACCTAAGCAGCCAGTTTGACATTATGACTTGCTTGTCATTGTATTTTCATGTTTTTTTTAAGAAAAATGAACTTTTCCACATTGCTACAGGGCAGATCTGCTGGCACTAACAATGTCTCCTGCTGTGGAGGACCCCCTCTCGCTAGGGACAGAGGTAGCAGATACAGCCAGGTAGCGCTTTGCTAACATGGCAACATAAGGATATTTGGCGTTTGTAATAGCTTTGGCTCGGTCTGAACTTTTTGCGAGTGGTGGAGGCTTAAATGCTAGTGGGAGTTGGGTTTGCACTTCAGTCTTTTTTCTTTTGGTACCGGTGATATTCATGTTCGGGTGATACCTTTTCAAATGAGTGTGCAAGTTTGATGTATTGCCAGCCGCGTAACCAATTTTAGTTGAACAATGCCGACAAACAGCTTTGGTTCCGTCCACCTGTCTGTGTCCGTCATCCTTGTGCGTAACTGCGAAACCAAAATGTTCCCAAACCGGAGACTTCAATGATGCTGGAGGATTCAAATTACTCTGAATGCTGAGACGCAGCACCTGAGATTACTTCCAAATTTTTTTTCACATTCTCAATTTTTTACGTTTAACGTTTGGTACACCGAATGGCCCGTACCGAATAATTTCGGTACGGGTACGTGTACCGTTACACCCCTAGGCGAGACCTTAAATCATCTTCGTAATATCTATCAAACTATAGATCCTACACATCGACTGGACGTGGATTCTAAGAGTACAATATACACTTCTCGCCAGAAATCGAATCAAAAAGCATTTTAATGGCCAAACTATTCCACAATTTAGGATTTTCCAGAGAGGGTTATTTGTGAATAAACGACCCTCCAGGACGTTTGCAATGAACGGGCCGGGAGCATGTTGGAGACGAGAGCACCTATATTGGTC